CACCCCTCTCCCCTGCCATGTGTGGGGGTCTCACCCCCCCGATCACCCCAGCACCCACCCCCACACTCCCCCAGCATCCAGACCCCCCACCCGCGGTGGGGACACAGGAGGAGGGGAGCGCTCCCCCCAAGGACCCCCAACCCAGGGGTGTCCCCTCCCTCTGGGCAGGGGGAGAGGGGAGCTGCCCCCCCCGAGCAAATCACCCCCTCTGTGCTTAGAACAGGGGGATCACCCCTCCTCAGCCCCCCCCGCTGTGTCCTTGTGGCAGGGCCCACGTGCTGTTCACCCTCGTGGGTGCCGGAGGAGCCGAAGGTCACCCACGCTCCTCCTCAGACTAAACACGGCTGTTGGGTCTGGCAGGGGCCCTTCTGGGGGGCTGCAGGGGATTGCACTGGGGGACACACGTCTGTCCCCTCCCCAGGTGTGGGTGGCCACCCCCCAGCACAGGACCTTGTCCCCGCGGTGCTCCTAAGTGACCCCCACCCATCCTTGGGGTGTGTCCCCCCCCTATGCCCACCCCCTGTCTGATGGCTGAGTCCTCCAGGGATCCTGAGGGGGAGTCAGTCTGGCTCCAGGTCCCTGGGCCATGGCACTGTCCCTCCTCCATGTCCCCCTCACAACACCGTGTCCCCTCACCATGTCCCAGCTCCATGTCCCTGCTCTGGCTAAAGGTCCCCCAGCCATGTCCTGTCCTGCAGTCATGTCCCCAGCTCTGTCCCCATGCTGTGTCCCCACCCCAGCTCCAGGTCCTGATGTCATGTCCCAGCTCCAGATCCCTGTCCTGGCTCCTTGTCTCCCCATCCCACCTCCGTGTCCCCACACCATGTCCCTGCTCAGTGCCTGAGCCGTGCCAGCCCCTCATGAGACCCGAGCACAGCTCATTGCATGGATGGGCAGAGGGTGGCTCCTGCCCCCGTGGGCTGCCGGGGAGCCCGTCCCCCACCGTGGGGACAGGGATGGTGAGGGTGGATGTCCCCATGCCCGCCCACCTCCACCGGGACCCCCGCGGTGTCACCCCGGGCCACCAGGCGCGTGGCCGAGGCCACCAGGTGGCACTGTGAGGCCACCGCGGTCATCGTTGCCCGGACCCCCGACCCAACCTAACCCGACCCCAAACCCGCCCTAACCTGACCCCAAACATGTCCCTCTGCGGCCAGAGCGACAACCCCTCTGTCCCAAAACCACCCTCAGTGGGCACAGTCCAAGTGGCAACCCCTCTGTCCCCAGATCTGTCCCCAAATCTGCCCCTCCATGGGCACAGCCATGACAGTTCCCCTGTCCCCAGATCTGTCCCCAGAGCTGTCCCTCCATGGGCACAGCCAGAGTGACAACACCTATGTCCCCAAATCTGTCCCTTTGCAGGTATGGCTACACTGGTGACTCATCTGTCCCCAAACCTGTTCCTCTGTGGGCACAGCCAGAGTGACAACTCCCCTGTCCCCAAACCTGTCCCTCCATTTTCTCACCCGAGTTACAACCCCTCTATCACCAGATCTGTCCCCAAATCTGCCTCTCCATGGGCACAGCCCTACTGACAACCCCTCTGTCCCCAGATCTGTTCCAAGATCTGCCCCTCCATGGGCCATGGGCACAACCAGAGTGACAAATCTGCTATCCCTCGATCTGTCCCCAAACGTGTCCCTTGGCAGGCAGAACCCCGAGCCCCAGGAGTGAGTGGGACAGCCATTGGGGTGTCCCTGGGGCTAAGGGCCTCCTGCCACCTGTTGTGCCTCAGTTTCCCCACCGGGCTGCAGGATCCACATTCCCTAAGGGAGGACAAGGTGTTCCCTAAGAGGGGACAAGGTGTCCCCCCAGCCAGGTTGGTCTCCCCGGGGGGCAACCCCCCGTGATGTGTGTCCCCAGTGTAGATGCCTGGCCCCAGTGCATGTCCCCACTGCGGGTGCCCAGTCCCCAGTGTGGGTGCCCGGCCCTGGTGTGGGTGCCCAGTCCCCGTACAGGTCTCTGGAGCCTGTGCCCAGTGCCCTACATGTGAGTTCCCAGTCCTTCACGGGTGTTCCCTTCTTGGGTGCCCGCTCCTGGTGTGTGTCCCTGATCCCTGTGGGTGTCCCCAGCGTGGATACCTGGTCCCCCTTGCGTGGCCCCAGTGGGTGGCCAGTCCCAGGACAGGTCCCTGGTGCGGTTCCCCTACACGTCCCCATTGTGTGTCCCCAGTGTCCTGTCTGTGTTCCTGGTGTGGGTGCCCAGTCCGAGGACAGGTTCCCATTGCAGATCCCCAGTCCCGGTGTGTGTCCCCAGTGTGGACACCGGGTCCCCTGTGTGTGTCCCCAGTGTGGACACCCCGTCCCCTGTGTGTCCCCGGATGAAATGCCCGATCCCAGTGGGTGACCCCGGTGCGTGTTTCAGGTCCCCGGTGCGTGTCCCCAGTCCTGGCGCGGGTTCCCGGTGCAGACGCCCGGTCCTCGGTGCGAGTCCCTCATCCCGATGCAGATTCCCCGT